TGCCAAAACCAACCATTATAATTTATAACAGATAAACATTTAATGTTAACATGAGAAGATAAATCATGTAAATCAAACACATATACATTCTCATGTCTATAACCTACAAAAAAGTTTTTGTTTTCTAGGGTGTTCTCAATAGTACAATGAGTTTTCTCAAAAATAACTCTATAGCCTTTATCATATAGTTGACTAATAGTAAGCAAGTTATGTTTTAAACCTTCAACAAGTAGAACATTTTTAATAATAGGAGAATGATTTTTACCAATACAACCTACACCAATAATTTTTCCCTTGCTATTGTCGCCAAAAGTCACATATCCGCCATCCTTTAGTTGGAGTGTGACGAACATAGTTTTATTTCCGGTCATGTGTCTCGAACATGCACTGTCGAGATACCATCTATCGTTACTAGATTTTGCCTTGAAACATGCCTACAAAAATTTGATTTTTCTATGGGTCCATAAAAGTTAGAATTTGACATTCTTGAAATGTCTTTAGGAATCCACATCTTTTTTATTTTAGCAAAAGGATTTCTTTTAACAGAGCATGAAGGTAAAATATGACCTTTTGTATCACAAAAATGGCATGTGAGATGAGAGGGACTAAATGATGCATAAACAAAACCATTTTTGATGGTTTTTACTTTTGAAAAAGGTTTATATCCAATTCCGCCTCTACCAAAGTATGATTTTAATTTTTAAGAATTTTATCTAAAGTCTCTCTACCTTGAGTGAATTTTGAAAGAGTACTTTTCAAGTCTTCAGTATTTTCTTTCAAAGTAATTTGCTCCATTTTTAAAGACTCATTTTCTTCTTGTAAAACAACTAATCTTTTCTCAGAATTTGAAGACTTTTTTCGAATTAAAATCTCATCTTCCTTTTTCATTTTTATGGCTTCATTTTCTAAAGTATTTATCTTAGAAATTAAGGATTCATTTTCTTTTGATAAACTTGAAATCATTTTCTTTTGACAATTACTTTTCAAACTAAATTTCTTAAATTCAGCATGTAATTCATCAAAAGATGATTGTAATTCTTCAAACATAAAAGATTCATCATTTACCCCATCTTCGTTTCCAAGTGTCATTAAGCATAGGTTAGCAACCTCATTTTTTCAAACTTCGGTTTCTGAGTCGCTTTCATCGCTATTTTATCCCCATGCCGCAATCATGGCTTTCTTCTTGTCTTTCTTGAATTGTTTTTTAAGTTCTGGACATTCTGATTTGTAGTGTCCAGGTTTGTTACATTCGTTGCAGGTAACTTCAGATTTTTTGTGATTTTCTCCCCTTTGAAAATCCCTATTATTGAAATCTTTTCTAAAAAAATTTTGCACGTCTTGTTTCTTTTTCACAAACCTTTTGAACTTTCTAGTGATGAATGTCATTTCCTTATCACCATCTGCATCATCTTCCTTTTGATGTTTCGAGGTGGATTTGAAACTTCTTCTTGTTGTCCTCCTCTTCATTTCCTTCTTGTATTATAAGCTCATGAGTTAAGAGAGATCTCATTAATTCATCTAGACTTAGCTTTGATAAATTCTTGGTTTCGGTAATGGCAATGACTTTTGTCTCCCAACTTTTTGGCAATGACGTAAACACCTTTCTTACAATTTCAGCATTAGTATATATTTTTCCAAGAGAAGTTAAACCATTAATAATATCAGTAAAGCGAGTAAATATTTGAGGAATAGTCTCATCAGGCTTCATTTTAAAGAGTTCATAATTATGGACTAACAAACTGACTTTAAATTCTTTAACTTGTTCGGTTCCTTCATGAGTCACTATAAGCTTGTTCCAAATTTCTTTTGCGATTTTACATGTGAAAATTCTGTTGAACTCATTGGCATCTAAGACATATTACAATATGTTTGTGGCTTTGACATTAATTTGGGCTATTCTAGTATCTAATTCATTCCACTCATCTTCAGGTTTTGGTACCCTAAGTCCATCTATGATTTTGGTAGGAATTTTTGGACCATTACAAATAATTTTTCAGCATCCATAATCATTAGATTGAAAAAGTATGGTCATCCTAGATTTCCAATAGCTGAAATTTATGCCGCTAAATAGTGGTGGCCTATTGGATGCTTGTCACTCAAGTAAGAAATAACTAAGGGTTGCCATGATCTACTCTAAGACAGTTAAGTCACACAAACTAAAGTCTAGGCTCTGATACCAATTATTATCTCAGGTAGACAACTCAAGGGGGAGGTGAATTGGGTTATTAAAAATTTTACAATATTAAAATTAACACGATATTCAGAATTTTAACAAATAAAAAAAAACAGAATAATAATTATCAATATAAAAGTAAGAGAGATAGAGAGAGAAAATCAAACACTGAGATTTATGGTGGTTCGGCACGCTAGGCCTACGTCCACTCCCCAAATAATCTCATTGAGAATTTTTTTACTATCAATTGAATATATACATCACCAAGCTTGTGAATTTGACACATGACTTACTCTTATCTATTGAGCCTTGCTCCAATAAATGTTTTATCCTTACAAAATCTCTTACAAAAATAATGAATAAAAATAAGTGGTACTTAAACTCTCTTTTACAATAATTCTCTCACAAAGAGTAGATTTGAAAGTGTAAGAACAAAGGCGACACTTAGATCTGAAAGTGAAAGAGCAAAATACAATATACCCAGAATTTTGAAGCACACATAAATTTTTTTCTTCAAATTTTTGATTTTTCTCCATACACAACACTTCTATTTATACTAAAAAATATACCCGTTGGAGGAGACAGATGCTCCTCAAGACGTCAACTGAATGAATCAATTTGGAAGAGAATCACGTGGAAGAAAGTTTGCACTCTTGCAAATTTGAACATCTTTAGGCATTAGTCAAAATTATACAATAAAGCAAAAAGTTAATGACGACTTTTCACATGCTATGATAATGTTTCCACTAATAATGTTTCTACATGCTAATATATATGATACAATTAATGTTTGTGTAAAAAGTCTAATTTCTCCCGTGATGTATGTTATTTGTATTAAATGCATTATATATATATATATATATAAATTTAAATATAATATTCTAATCACATATTTGCATACACAGAAAAATCTTTTTAAATAATATTTATGATAGATCTGAAAATATATGTCCTCTTTAAATTAATGTATATGTTGTAGAGATTTTAAATTAACCTCGTTTGGCAAGAGACTATTTTAGCCAATTAGCCAAAAAGTTACTAAATTAGCCAAAAAGTCAACAACTCATACCAAAAAGTCAAAGATTCTCTTTTCTCTCTACTTTTTGCACATCTTTTCGTAATTAGCCAAAAAGTCATCCCAAACATACAAGTTTTTTTTACCAACTTTTTTAGCCAAATAGCCAAAAAGTTACTAAATTAGCCTGTTCCCAAACGAGGTAAATATATCTTTTCACTCCATATAAATTTTGTTAAAAGAAAACAACCCATCAATATCAAATTTGCCAAATTAATACAACTAATCAATATGAATTTCGTCAAAAGGTGAATAGTGATCGGCCGAACTTTTCAAAATCGTGAATAGTAATATTTTCAAAATATTTCCATTTAAATAATATTTATAACAAATATAACATACAACCTATAGTTTAAACAAATTTAATTTTGTGTCAAATAATATAGAACATGTGTATTAAAAAATCCAAATATGTGTATTAAAAGATCCAAATTTTCAAATAATATTTTAGGCATCATCAAAATTAAACAACATGATTAACATAAAAGATAAATTGAAACTAGCCAATGAGAATTTTATTAATGATTTAAAATTAAGAAAATTCAATAATTTTGTAATTAGAATTTGAAGCTCTTAGAAGGTTTCTCCCTAAAAACTTACTTTTCCTTATATAATATACAAATGTTGAAACAAATTTTGCTTTTTCTTCTTCTCCCGATGTGGGATTATAAAATAAATAATAAAGTAATTATAGTTTTATTTTTATATGGTTAAATGAAAGTTAGCAAATGAAAATATTTTTAATTGTTTAAAATTAATAAAATCAGTAGAAGAAATCACGATTAAATCGGCGAATCAGTCAAACCCAAAATAGTTTAGCCTAATCTGTTGGTCAAATAACCAATCAATTTATATAAAAATTAATTAATTAAAACTTTTAAATGTTATTTTAATTTTAAAATTTATACACAATGCTACACTATTAAAATTTACTTTATATAAGTAAAACGACTTACTTTTTTCCAACGTGGGATTATGAAATAAAAATTAACAATTATTTGGACAAAATTTTTATTTATAATCAAGTAATTTTAGTTTTTTAATCTTTAATCAGATCAATCTTTAATTTATTTTGAATTAAACAAATTTAATCAATATATTTTGACAAAACTGCTAAAATCGTAGTTAAACCAACAAATTAATCAAATAAAAAATGATTTAGTCTAATCGGCTAGGTTAAAATTAATTAATTAAAACTTTTAAATTTAAATTATATTGAATTGATAATGCACAACACTATAATATTAAATGAGATGAAAGTATAACATTCACTTTATATGAGTAAAACAACTCATTTCTTTCCTTTTTCTCCTTATGTGAGATTATTAAATAAAAGCTAACTAATGGAGATTTTCTTAATTGTTTAAAATTTAAAAAAAATTAAAAAAATTAGTATGAGATGTTAAGACTTTGTTTGGTTTGCTTTTGAGAGAGTAATTTTGAAAAAAAAAATTCAAAATTTTGTTTGGTTTAGTGATTTTGGAAATTTTTTTCTAAAATCACTCTCTCTTCTACAAATTAATCAATCACTTCTTCTCTCCCCTCTCTCCTGCTCAATTACTTTTTCTCTCACACAAATCTACATAAAAAAAATATCAAATCATCCCAAACTCCCATACTCTAAAACTATTTTCAAAATATACAATCAAACAAATCAAAAAAATTTATAAACTCTCCTTAAATTTTTTTTTTTTTTTTTTTGTTTTTTAAATTTCTCCCAAAACCAAATCAAACACAAAACAGTCACAAAACTCCTTACTAAAACTTTTTTTTCCTTATATAATATAAAAATACAGATCATATTCATACAAACTCAAAAGCACCTAATTCAAAACTTGCCTTCCAAAAACTCAAAACCAACTAATTGAAAATACAATACAACCTATGACTAACTTGTGCATCTCTCTGAGTCTCAATCCAGATTTCACAACCAAACACCCCCCCCAGCTCCAAAAGATTACACCATTAAAGATCCCCCAATTTCTATAAAATGTGGATTGAGTCAGACCGGGTGATCACATAATGGAGCATGCATTAGGATTTTCATCACTGAAAAGAGTGGTGAGATGATCAGTGGGGGCGTTAGGGTTGTTGGGGAAGGCTTGGACCACGTTCCTAACATAGCCAGAGGGTGCCTTCTTGTCATAAGCTTGAGGGGCGTAAGGGTATGACACCAAATTGTAGGGAACGTATGGCCAAAACTCTGCTTTCTTTCCTGTGCTCTTCACTTTGTTTAACACCTTGTTTGGCTCCACATACCCGCTTACTGTTACCCTGCTCTGCTTCCTGTTCACATCTACTGTTTTCACTCCTATATCCAAAAGACAATGGGGTTAGTGAAAGAAATGGGTTTATGAGATGATATATTGTGATTGTGTGTGACATGTGCCATGTAGTACTCTATGACCACTGATTAAATTTTTCAACCAAAAAAAAATTAGTAAGTTAAAAAGACACTCTCATTTTCTCTCTCTATTCTTGCCATCCAATCATAAATAGCATATATATATATACTAAGTTCTCGTTTGACAACAGGCTGGTTTTGCTAAAAAGTCAAAAAGTTACTAAAAAAGTCAAAAAACCAACAACTCATACCAAAAGATCAAAAATTCTCTTTTCTCTCTACTTTTTACACATCTTTTCGTAAAAAATCAAAAAATCATTTCAAACATACTAATTTTTTTTAGCTCATATTTTAGCCTAATAACTAAAAAATTACTAAATTAACTTGTTCTCAAACGAGGTCTAAATAAACCACACAACTCTGTTGATATAAGTTGTCTAACTTTTTTTTCTTCTCCAAATTACTCCTTTAGGACCTGTTGTTTGGAAAGTTAGAGGAGCGATTGAGATTAGTAGTAAAGTAAAATTTATTAACATTGTGTTTGTTTTGAGAGATGGGAATATGATTGATAGTGAACTCCGGATTATGAATCCTCTTGGGAAAGGGTATTCGGATGGGCCTCCAAGACTTAGTATTAGAAAAATAGTCCACCGGGCTGGAAATTTTTATTTTATTTTATTTTTTACATGTTGGGCATTTTTTTTAAAATTTTTTATATTTTTTGTTAAATAAAAATCATTATTTTATTTGTTTTATTTTTTTCTAATTTTTTTAAAAATTTTTTACATGTTGGACATTTTTTTAAAATATTAATGTTTAATGTTTTTGTATTTTTTTATTTTATTTTATTCTTTTATATTTATTTTATATAAAAATAATTTAATAATCCCTATACTAACAACTATCATCAAAACAGACACAATTTTACTTAATCCCCTCACTATTAATTCTCTCACTATAAATCACTTTTATTTTACCTTTAAAAACAAACTGCCGTTACAACTTACATTTTATAACTATTCCAAATTTTGATTTTGAATTTTAATTTTTTATACATCCAGCCAGTCGGTTTTTATACCGCATTATGTGAACACCGTCCCCTATGTCTATCTCAAAACACTTCGTTGGATGGTAATTTCGTAAGATGAAAAAGAAGATAGATAATTATGATTTTTCATCTCAGTAAAAAAAAAAAAAAAAAAAAAAATTAAGGTTAATCTAACTGTCATAGTTGGATGTGTGAAAAGAAAATGGGAAAATAATATGTGAGTTTTTTTTCTTTCTTTTTTTGTATTTTAAAAATAGGATAAATTATAAATATATTTTTTGAGATTTATTTAAAATATAAATCGCTATTTGTGATTTTAAAAATTACATTTCACCCTTTGAAATTTTCAATTTCAAAACAAATAATCTATTTTATTAATAAATTATTAAGTCAATTAACAGTTTTTAATGATTTCAAAAATTTATTTCAATTAATAATTCAAATAATTTTATTTATTTGTGTAGAAGAACATTTAAAATTTTTATTTTTTAATTAATTATGTTAAATAATTTTTTTAATGAGGAGATATTTTTAATTTTTCAAAGTACGTGATACAATCTGTATTCTAAACAAACCTCACGAGAATTTGTTTGTAATTTACCTTTTAAAACACAATCTTGGTATTATAAGCACTATGCAATCAATTTACTTATTTCTTAGCAAATCCTATCATTTTTTATAAGAAATAAAATAGATTTAGACCTCGTTTGACATCCAATCATTGTAATTTAAAAGTTAAAAAATTATTAAAAAAATTAAAAAATCTACCATTTTATCCTATAAACCTATCTACAATTTTAAATCATGTGTCCATAAAAGCTTACAATCCTATCATTTTCGCCTAAAAATCTAATCAGTGTGGTTTGAGTTTTTTGAATTAAATTTTTTGAAAATTGAGTTTTTTCATTTTTTTATTTTTAGTGAATATTTTTAAAATTTTAAACATTTTTTTTTACTTTTTTAGATGTATCTAAAAAATAAAAAATTTGTGAAAAAATATTTTTAAAAATTAATAAATACATTAAAAAAACAAAAAATGTATTGAATTCTCATATTTTTTTTTTTTATATTTTTGGTATTTAGTGAATTTTTAAAAGATTTTTTTTCAAATTTTTGTTTACTTTTTAGGAATATTTATGTTAGGTATATCTAAAAATTAAAAAAATTGCTCAAAATATTAAAAAAATTGCTCAAAATATTAAAAAAATTCAGTAAAAACAAAAAAAAAATCAAAAAATAAAAAAACAGAATTTTCTGAAAAGTGTTTTTAAAAAATGATAACCAAGCATGCTGAATAGTACTAAAGATTTATTTATTTATTTATTTATTTTTAAGTTAAAATATTATTCCCAAATAGACTAATTTTTTACCTCATATTTTAACTAAAAAATTAAAAAATTATTAAAATAACTTATTTCCAAACAAAACCTTAGTAAGAATTTTACCTTTCTAGCAATTTCTCATCATTTTTTTTTTTAACAATTGCTCAACCAATTTATAAATTAAACAAGAGAAAATAGTTATGTTTCTTATTATTTCTCACAAAATCACCAAATTCAAATAGAGTGTTAGTTCCAACTACTTCAAATAACTATCATAATTATAAAAATAATTTTTTTAAAATACCCATTTGGCGATTAGGTTAATAGTAAGAAAAAATCATTATAAATTATTATATTAGTCTCTCTATTTATATTTTATTATAAAAAATTAAAAAATCAAGTAAAATAGCTCATTCCTAAACCACCTTGAGTATTATTTTAAATTTTTTCTCAGAACACTTGTGTTTGGGCACGTATTGCATGTTTGTTAAATAAAGGATAAATTAAAAATACACCCCTCAACCCTCCTTAAAATACAAATTATCTCATGTAATTTGAAAAATGACAAATATCTCTTATCAAATTTTTTTATTTAACAGAATTAATTAAAAAATAAAATTTATAACTGTTTTATAACTGTTCTCTTATATAATAATAAAATTATCTAAAGTATTATTTAAAATATATTTATAACATTATTAAAAATTATGAATTGAGTTGATGATTTATTAATAAAAGGGCGATTTATGATGAAATTAAAAATATCAGGTATGAAATGTAATTTCTAGAATTGTAGAAGGCTCAAGAGATGTATTTATATAATTGGGTTTGACTTCTCTCAAGTTAATGAGTGTTTGTGTTTGGTAGACCCATTTTGGAATCAATTCTAATGATTCGAACCGTTCACTTTTTTAAACTCATCGAGTAAAATTTTCATGCAAAAAAATGAAAATAATTGTATATCGGTAACTACATGTTTGAATTATATTTGTTTAAAAAATAGACGACAAATATAATTTTAAGAATAATCATTCATTTTTTATAGGGTAAATTACACTGACACCCCTTGAGGTTTGGTCTAATTACATCTCACTCCCTGACACTTTGAAAATTGTATTTCCACCCCTAGGGTTTAATAGTCTCATATCACAAACCCTCTTACTTATAAGGCAACAACTCGTAACAGAAAATAGGGAAAATTATATTAGAAAAATAAATAAATAAATAAAACAAAGGAAAGGAAAAAAAAAACAAAAGAAGTAAAGCAAAGCAAGAAAAGAGATAGTACAGGAGTTCAATGTCTTCATTCGGTTTAAATAATTACAATGATAGGAGGATTAGTGTAATTTTTCAAACATCAGGGATGATATGTATTAAACCCAAACTTTAGGGGGTGTAAGTGTAATTTATCATTTTTTTATGATATAAATTTGATTCAAACATATAGCTATCGAAGTCCGATCATCTTAATTTTTTTGCATGAATATTCTATTCAATGAGTTCTAAAAAATGAACGATTCGAATTATCAAAACGAGACCTATTGTATGCTCTACAAATACTTCAAATTCTCTCATGTTGAAATCTCAACATAAGAGAAGCTCACCTTTTTATAATTTATTCTTAAATGAAAGGAAAGTTTATGGTATACATCCCTAAAAAAAATACTATATACATTTTATAAATAAAGAAGAAAATAATATAACTTTATATTATCTGAATCATAGCTAAAATATATAAAATAAAAACCGGACCGTTTTCAAATTTTTATTTTATTTTTCTTTCTTTCTTTCTTTCTATCTTTCTTTATTTAATATATATATATATATATATATATGTAGAATATAAAAAATTTAATTGAAAACTCTTTTTAAGGGCTCCTCTTGTGAGAATCTCATTAGAGCTTGAAATTATTGTGAAAGCTTTCTACTATTTATAAGGAAAAAAATCTTTCAAAAAAAATCAAGAATCCATTGGGATTCAATAAATTATTGGAGGGAAACTTAAAATTTTGATATCCCTCCAAAATTTTTGCTCTTCTTTCAATCAAATTATTGAATTTAAAATCATATGGAGGGAATAATTAAATATTTGATTTTCATCTTCCAAAATTGAAATTAATAATATTTTAAAATATATAATTATATTTTTCAGTAAAAAAAATATTAGGAGAAATATTTAAGATAATTTAATATTTTTAATATTTTTAATTTATAATTTTATTACTTATATTTTTATTTAAATATAATTTTAATATATTTATTACGTCACGGTTCGATTCCGGTTCAACCCGACGGTTGAACCGGTGACCCGTCCACTCGATGCCTTTTCCGGTTCGTTCACCGGTCCGGTTTTTAAAACATTGACTGCATTTATCTTGCGAAGCTGACTAAACATCCAAGTTGTTTTCACACTTTCACATCACGGCTCTGTTTGTTTGTTGGGAATGGAAAATGCGTTGGACCCCAGTGAGGGTACTGGGTCCTCTCTGATTGGAGAAAAATAACTGTTTTTTTTGTTTTTTTGTTTTCAGCCAATGGAAAGCCGACACCTCACTAGAATTGTCAGTGGGGTCGGCTCACTGGGGTCGGTAGCACTACTCGTTGGGAATTTGCGTTGCATTTATTAAGGCTTATTTTGGGAAGTTGGCTTTTAACCACTTTTTTTGGTTTGTAACAAAAGTTAAAAGTTGGCTTTTTTGAATTTTTTTCTATTTGGAAAGGTGGTTTTTAGAATTTTACCCTTCATGAGTCAAAATATACTACATGGGTGAAGTTGTAATAGTTTAAACTAAATAAGGATAGTTTGGTCATTTGATTATGATTTGACATCATAAACAAATATTAATCAAAAAAAGTCAAAAGTCACTTTTTACCAACTTCTCAAATCATTTGTCTAAAAAAATCAAAAACTTAATTAAAAGTCAAAACACTACTTTTTACCATCTTCCCAAAATAAGCCTAAGTTGGGATGAACTGAATATATAATAGATATACGTGAATTGTGTGTTGCTCAAACTTGGGTTTGTCTCATGTGGTAAATGTCACCTTAATACCTGTGACAACCATAAATTTGAACAGATCTGTTGTACAACCATAGGTCGACCAATCAAGCAATTTATTTTTGAAAAATAAGTTGGACCTCCAGTAGGGAAGCTGGGATCCTTGTTGATTGGTTAAATTTTTTTTTTTTTTTTTTTCAACAAAAAAGATTCTTTTTTGGATGATGTGGGAGGGGGGGTGCCCAGTCATTGGGGTCCTTAGCATCACCCTTTATTTTTAGAGAAATGTTAAAAGTAAAATTAGAATAAAATGATTATTCAAAATATAAGTGGTTGAGACTATTGTCAAATAAAAATAAAATATTTTTATAAATAATTTCTTTCAATAATATTGTTAAATCAATTTTAATTTTTTTTTACCAAACCAAAATTAAGTATTTAAAAGATTATATATCACTTTGGCAAAAACAATTCTCTTTTCAAAAATAAAACAGACCTATATAGAGTAATTTTTTAAAAATCGGACCGGTGAATGAACCGAAAAAATATCGAGTGGACGGGTTACTGGGTCAATTATCGGGTTGAACCGAAACGTCATAAATATATTAAAATTATATTTAAATAAAAATATAAGTAATAAAATTAAAAATTAAAAATATTAAAAATATTAAATTATCTTAAATATTCTAAATATTTCTCTTAATACTTTTTTTATTAAAAAATATAAAAATATATTTAAAAATATTATTAATTTTAATTTTGAAAGAAGAAATCAAATATTCAATATTCCCTCCATATGATTTTAATTCAAATAATTTGATTGAAAGAAGAGCAAAAATTTTGGAGGGATATAAAAATTTTAAGTTTCCCTCCAATATATTTAATTGAATCTCATATAGATTTCTTGAATTTTTTTGGAAGAATTTTTTTTTTTATAAATAGATAGAAGCTTTCACAATAATTTCAAGCTCTCAATGAGATTCTTTACAAGAGGAGGCCCTTAAAAGAGAGTTTTCAATTAAATTTTTATTATATATATATAAAATAAGAAAGAAAGAGAAAAGAAAGAAAGAATAAAAAAAAAGAAAAAAATACAAAAAAATTGTTTTATTAACCCAGTGAACTGGAACCGAGTCGACCGATTTGGCGGTTCGACCGTCGATTTTTCCGGTTCTCTCAAAATAAGCCAGTTTTCCACTATGACCGGTTCAGTGGGTGTATCCGGACCAGAACCTTGACCGGTCGGCGGTTCAACCGGTTGAACCGACCGGTCTAATCCGATTTTTAAAACCCTGATATAGAACAATAATATAAAAACATAAATATATACATAGTGATATGGTAGAATTATGAGTTTAAAACTCTGAACCATGGTAATCAAGATTTTTTTTTACGTATAAAAATGATTAAGTGTCACATCATTCTAATATGATTTTGTATGAAAATTAATGTCATTTTTTTCCCAACATATGCTTGAATGAATATAAAAATGAAATTACAATTCAGTGTAATTAAAAAAAAAAACGTCACATAAATGATAAATTTTATAAATAATAATATTTAAAATTATAATTTTTTCATGAATTGTAATATTTTTTTTAGAAATACTGAATTGATATTTTCCATATAAAAATCAACATGATTTTTTTATTATTTTTTTATAACACTTTTAAAAGTATTTCTATTGAAATTGATTTATATATATATATATATTTTTTTTTTTTTTCTCTCTCTCTCTCTCTCTCTCTCTGAAATGTTCTTCGACATAACCTATTTCATGAATCTTGGTGACTCCATAGGCTTATAGGCTTTCTTAAGGTTCATTTGTGGATAAGATATTTGAGTAATTTTTTGAATTTTTATAAAAAAATATGTAAAAAAATAAAAGAAATGATATGATAATTTATAATGATTTTAATTTTTTGATTAAAATATATAATTATCAAATGAGGTCTTAATCAGTGTGTTTGTTTTGGGTTTTCTAGATTAAGGCCTTGTTTGGTTTGTGTTTCTCAAAAAATTTTGAGAAAAATTCTCTATAAATAAGTTTTCAAAAGTAATCAAACCAAATAAATTTTTTCAAATTTTTTTTTTCAAAACTTGTTTAGTTTACAAATTTTCCAAACAAATCTCTCTCTCATACACATCAAATCAATCACTTTTTCCAAAACCCTCTCTCAAAATAATTTTTCAAAACATTCTTTTGAAAAAAATCAAACTAACAAATTTTCGTACTTTTTATCTCAAAACATGTTTCTCAAATACAAACCAAACAAGTCCTTAAGTTTTTAAAAATTGAGTTTTTTAATTTTCGTATTTTTTTTATTTTAGTAAATATTTTTAAAATTTTAAATATTTTTTTTACTTTTTTAGATGCACCTTATTTAGATGTATTTAAAAAATAAAAAAATTATTAAAAAGTAAAAAAATTATGAAAAAATATTTTAAAAAATTAATAAATACATAAAAATATAAAAAATGTACTGAATTCTTGTATTTTTTTGTATTTTTGATATTTAGTAAATTTTTAAAAGATTTTTTTTATAATTTTTTACTTTTTAGGTGTATTTATGTTAAGTGTGTCTAAAAAATAAAAAAAATTACCTAAAATATTAAAAAAATTCAGTAAAAATAAAAAATATGAAAAATAAAAAAATATAATTTTCTAAAAAATGTTTTTTAAAAAAATGGAACCAAGCAGTATTTTTATAGAATATAAGAGGTCTGTTTGTTTGGAAAAAAATAATTTTCTCGAGAAAACATTTATTCATCACAAGGCGGCAACAATATGGAATCTATTTTCGGATCTTGTCCAAGGATGTTTGTCTCATGTCATGCTCTCAAGACAACATCACTTCACTTCTTCACTAGTTCACAGAGAGAGAGAGAGAGAGAGAGAGAGAAGTTTTAGAACCTTTCATGGAAGAAACAGAATTCCTGACCCTCCTCTCACAGCCATCACAGTCCATTTTTACCTTGACATCAACTGTCTGAAAGAATCAAAAACATCCCAGTTTTAAAATGCTAAATACCAATCAGAAAAACCAAAGTGAACTAACCAAAATCACAAAAAAACTGGAGAGAGAGTTTCCTCTTTGCAGATGACATGACAGCTTACCGTACAACCTTTAAGGTAATAAAGAAGAGAGAGAGAGAAAGAGAGAGGGAGAACCTGCATTACTTTGCGCTTGCCTTTCCTTGTGCTCGTAACACTGCATAAGTCTGCAAGATAATCCAGGTAACCCATTTTTGCTTCCTGTTTGGCGAAAGAGAAATTCGAGAGAGAGAGAGAGAGAGAGAAACAAGGAAGAAGAAAGATGGGGATGGGACCGAGTTGGGACAATTGAATCATATAAATGTAGTGTGATTTGGTATATATATATATGTAGGAGAGGTAAAACATAAAGAAATTGATATTTTTACAATATTTTTATTTAGATTTTTTACTCAAAATGATGTGACGGAGATTTTTTTTGTGGGAGCAAATTAAACATATATTTAAAATATTGATTTTTTTATAATTTAAAAAATTATAAATATTTTTTTATGAGAATTTTTTATTTAATAAAATTAATTAAAAATATAAAATTCTCAATTACTCTTCTATATATTAGTAAGGGCTCGTTTGAAATGTGGGTTAATTTTTTTGTTTTTTTATGAGACTAAAAAGCTTCGTTTAAGATGAATTTTTTGACTTTTTAAACTTTTGTAAGAGAAAAAATAAAATAATTATAGTTTAGATATAACATATTTTAGTCTAGGGCTAAAAAGTTTATTTTATAATTTTAGCCCCAACCTATCCCAACCCAATTTTTCAAATGAGTGTTAAAATTATTTGAATTATTAGTTGAAATAAAATTTTGATAATTGACTAAAAAAATATTAATTGACTTGATAATTTATTAATAAAAAGCTCATTTATTATGAAATTAGAATTTTAGGGGTGAGCATATAATTTCTAAAATAAAAGGGACAATTTATATTTTAAACAAATTTAAAAAAAAATGTATTTGTAATTTATTTATTTATAAAGATTTACGTTTTTTTTCCAATTTTAATACGATGGTTACAATCCATCATTTGGGGAAGGCTAAAAATCAGCTTTTTAGGTTCAAATTTACAAAAAGATAAAATATGTGAAAATAGTTAATAAGATCAAATATCACATTAAATTTATAATTATTTTATTTTTTTTCTCACAAATATCGCATTTAACTACAAAAAAATCTATTCATCTTTCTAAATATAAAAATTTTAGCCTATTAAAATAGTTAAAAACTAAAATAACCTACTAAAATAGCCAACTTCCTAAACAAGGCCTAAGGACTATAAAAAAAATACGACACAAGTGGTTTTTTAAAAATAAACCTTCAATTTTTTATTTTTTTTGCAAGAGAAACATAATAAAATAAAAAAATTACAATTATTTGATTGATTTAATTTTTTTTCATAAATAATATATATAAACTTTTTTTATAAAATGAATCATTTAGATAATTAAAATAAAACCTATGGTGGGCACTATAGGCTTGGACAACATATTCAAGTTCAAAATTGAATTAAAAGAAATGCAAATAATAAGAAAAATGATGTAAACGGATTATATCACGTTGTATTGATTTATTTTCCTAATTATCATTATCATTATCATTATCATTATCATTATCGCATATCACTATTCAAAACATATATTTGAATTAAATTTTAGAAGCAACACTCGTTTAAAATGAAGTATGCAGACAATGACTTATGTGACCACTAATCATGCCACGAACCTCAAAATATCATTCCTGACAACTGTTTATTTTGATTATGAAAAATGATTTGTCCACCAAATTTGTGTTGCTTGAATTGCTTAAATTTGTGCGTGTCGATGGACCGCTAAGACAATCGGTACAATTTTCGTGAACCGTGATTGTTATCCTTATCAACGGTAGTTATTACTCTTATTGTTAGATGACTAACGACCATCCAGACAGTCAGCATGCACAAATTTAGGCAATTCGGACAAGCCAAAATCGGCAAATCTGGCATTGCTCATTGGCTCCAACTAATGAATAATAAAAAAAAATCAAAATAGCAAAAATGTAAGTCATTTTGGTTTTTAATTTATTTTTATTTTTATTTTTATTTTTAAATTTGTTTACTTAAGCCAAGTTTGGCTATCCTAAATAAGTACATACTTTTTATCTTTTTATCTTTTTTCTATCACATCATCTCTCTATTTTTCTGTACATTTTTTCATAAAAAGACAAAAAATACACTTATTTAAGTCATCCCAAACAACCCCTTATACAGTTAATAAAGATTATATATTGTCCTGTTGTTTTCTTGGGTGCAAAGGAAAAGGAAATCAGTTGGAAAGTGCTTCTCGGTTTTTACTTTGAATTTGTGTGCAATGGGCTTCAGCTGGCTGGCCTTCACACACATTTTAAGCACACAACACAATGAAATGATTATAATAACCAGCACCCATGTTGCTAGCCTGTGTTTGTTGTTTGAATCTCACCATGTTTTATTTATTTATTATTTATTTATTTATTATTAGATTCTTATCATTTTCCTTGTAATCATCTTTATGAGAAGTGCTTATTTATTTTTATTTTATGAATTATACTCGTAATCTTTATACTTTGTCAATTGTGTTATAATTTAGTTTTTATTTCTAATTGAAGCAAGTTTACCTTGAATTTTTAACTTTGGATCAATACTTTGGTCCATTGTGTTAATTTAATTTTTATAGTTCTAATTGAAGCATCTTTACCTTGAATTTTTAACATTGGATCAATTTAGTTTAATTGATAATTATAGTTTAATCACTAACTTCAAAAAGCTGAGCAGTGTCCTATTTAAAAGGGTCAATTCTCTTTCTCTTTTAGATTGATCATTTTGATTTGAATTTCTATTCTATACGCCGGTCCGAAGGTGCGCATTGCAAACTTGAGACCCGAGGGAGCACACTCTCTAGTCTTCAAATTATATCCATTAAGTCAATCCTTTAAAATTATCAATTATATAATATAGTAATCAAAGAACAAAATTGATATAGTTGGAATTACCACAACTAAGTAAAAACAATAGACAAACTATAAGATCATATAATTTATCTTTTGCCATTTTTTTTATTTATTATTATGAATAAAAGAAAATTTTAATGATAGAAATTTTTTTTTATTTATCTTTTGTCAAACAATAAGATAAGATATCAATAAAGAAAAGCGTGAGTGCAAAATACATCATATCAATAAACAATTTCAACTAGATTAACACTAAAAAAACAAATCCAATTATATACAAGTACAAACACCATGAGTTGGTGAGAAACTAAAACTAAAACAGTTAGGTCATTTTTGTTTGAATGGACATGAACTTAGGATTGGAGTAATAGTCCAATAAAATTATTAATCCGGTATTTGGTTAAACAATTAAAGTATAGACTAACAATCTATCCGGATATGGTATTTCACATATGATAGATTATTTAATGAAAGTAGGAAGAGAGAAAGATATGTAGAGAGAGAGAATAAATCTTCCAAAGATATTTTTCATTTCAGTTCAATCAATCAATCTTACACGAGTTCACTTATAAACACAAATATATGGTTTGCTCTAACTAAGTTTGTTACAGAATTAGTTGAGAATCAGTTGTAAATTTGTTACATATACAAATGATCTCATGTACACAGACCATATGATTGTACTGGTCTTTCATCATGCATACCAATAGCTGACCTGCAATTACCATACAAAACAAGTTGAGCAGATCTCCTATATGCACCTGCAGTGGCTGAAGATATAACATTTGTAGCAGATGTATCAGATGTAGTAGATGCAGCTAATATAGCAGACATAGTAGTGGTTGGTGCAGCTGATGTAGATAAAGTTGGATGATCTTGAGTTGAAGTTGGATGGTCTTGAGCTAAACACTTATCAGTCCCCCTCAAGCTGAAAGGTGGGAGACCAACTAAAAGCTTGGATTGAAGAAAAAGAAAACGAGACACAGGAATAGATTTGGTAAAGATATCTGCCACTTGATCAGAAGAAACCACATGACGAATAAGAAGTTGCTTAGCTGAGATTTTCCTGAACAACAAAGGACTTATCATTAAAAGTAATAGAACAATTATTATCAGAAGTCAATTGATGAACATATAACAAGTTAGAAGATATTTGAGGAACATGAAGCAGATTATTAAGTTTGAAGTGAAAAGGAGTAGACAAAATATCAGTTCCTGAATTTTGAATGAGAATAGTATTACCATCACCAATCATGACTTGATTAGAACCTTGATAAGGTTGATAAAGTTGAAGATTACTTAAGTTATTGGTATGATGAGATGTGGCCGCAGAGTCCACATACCATGGAGGAGAAGATGAAAGTGAATTCACAAGTATTGGAGCAGAATAGGCCTTGAAATTGGAAGTACCAGCAGAAGAATTCACAGTATAGGAAGGAAACACAAGTTGAAATGATGAATTCATACGATGTCTACACTCAAGAGCTGAGTGGTTTCCTTTACCACAAATTTGACAGACCAAACCATAGCTTTGAGGCCTTCCAGTTCTTCGACCTTGATTATTGTTGTATCTGCCTCCACGATATTGATATTGTGAAGAACGACCTCCTCTGTTTTGAAAGGAAAAGTGCTCAGTAAAAGTAGAACTAGAGGAACCTTGTGGAGAACCAGAACCAAAGGAACCTTGAGGTAAAATGTTAGATCCATGTGTAGCAGCAAAAGCAACAGTAAGATCAGAGGAGCTACCCGATTTATGACAGTGTTCAACATGTATAGCCTCATAACAAAGTAGAGCACACAACTCATCCATAGTAAGCACTTCCGATTTAGCACGAATAGTAGTTTTAAGAGCATTGTACTCCTCAGGAAGTCCATTGAGAACTAGAAGAATCAGGTCTTCATCGCAGATAGGAGAACAAGCCAGTGCTAATTGATCAACAAGATCTTTGATTTCTTGAAGGTAAACTTCCATAGACTTTGTCTTCTTGGAGACTGCACTTAATTTGTTCTTGAGCTGGTGTATATGTGATCTGGACAGAGAAGTAAATTGCTTCTCAAGAGCAAACCAAAGCTCTGTGCTACGTTTCAGATGAAGAACTGATGAATAAATTGAAGGTGTAAGCGTAACTATGAGACAACTAAGCAGACAAGAATCAACAAGATTCCATTTCAAAAACTTAGGATTAGTGACAGTTTGATTGTTGCAGTCAAGAACTGTAGTAGGAGGACAACTCATAGATCCATCAAGAAAACCAAAAAGTTCAGTAGCTTCAAAGAAATTCTGAATTTGACTCTTCCAGATAGAATAATTCGTTGATTCAAGTTTAACTGTTATCAGAGAATTC